AAAATGCCCATCAGCTTAGAGATGCATAAAGAATATGTACATATATATGTATATGATTACTATTTAGCCATAAAGAACCATAGGTGGAGAATTTTTAAGTAAATGTATTCATGTTGAGAATATAATCTTAAGTGAAAAATGTTGGATTCATATGTGTAAATATTGCAGTGTTTTTCTGGCATGAGACACCAAATATGCAAAATAGAATAAAAGTGTATAAAAGTTATTGTGAAATAGGAAGAAACAGTTTGAAAGGAGGACAACTAGGGAAGAGAAGGGGACAAGGAAGGAAGGGAATAAAAAAGAGTCCATACTCTTAAATAATTCAAACATACATGTTTAAATATCACATTATTTCTCAATCGTGATAAACTTTTTAAATTAATTTTATTGAGAAACAAATAACAATGAGACAGTTGCAAAACAGATTAGTAGGACAGTTTCAATAATTGTCTTCATAGGGGTTATTCATATTACAAGAGGCAGACATGATATCCTGTCTAAACAGGATAAACTATTAGTACAAATCTTTCTTCTCATCAAATTAAGAGAAAGTAGGTGTATATCTATCCTAACTATTTTGCATATACAGATATATACAGATACAAAATAGTCCTCCATTTGTATCCCCCCATTTTTTGTTTAGTTTTGTCAGAGGTGGATATTTCATTGCCATTTAAATATTGTAGGTGCATGAATTCAGTAAAAGAATACAATATAGTCTACTAGTCCATCTGTGATAAATTTAAAAGGCAAATAAGGAACAAAATGTATAGAAGATACTGTAAATTAGGAGGAAATTATTCAAATGGTAAAGGGAACAAGGGAATATGGAAAGGGGAAAGGAAAGAGGGAAAATAAAGAATAGAAGCAACAAAGTAGAAACAGTGATTTATAAATAAGATTCAGAACAGATATTGAGGAGAAGAGAGAAGTTCAGGGAAAAACAAGTAATAGAGTATTTACTCAACTATTATCTCAGTCTATTTGATGTATATTTATCAGCAGTTATTTGCTTCTCTCTCTCAACCTTCATAAAAATATGAAAATATTTTCCACATTAATGACACAACTCAGCTATCAAGATTGAGTTTTATTTTTCCCGTTTCCACTTTAAATTCTCAACTACCTATGTAGGAACACTTACCTGAACCAATTTTTCCATAAATAACATAAATTTAAAACTCATCAAATAGCAAAACATACTCTGAATCTATGATGAGCTGCATAGAAGGCTCCTGATATACCACGAATGGAAATTAGTGATTTTTACATCAGATTTAACAATATGGAGATCAATGGGGCCCTTAACAAAGAAGACCCATATGGTGGCGATAGTTGACAATGGAGTAAATTTGATTTGAAAAATAATGAAGGGAGAGAGTGATTAAAAAGAACAAGGAAAGAGACAGGGAGGGAAGGAGAGAGAAGGATGATGAAAAAGAGCAGAAAGAGAAGAGAGGGAGGAGAAGAAGAAGAAAAAGAAGATGAACAAGAAGAAAAAAATAAGAAGAGAAGAAGGGGAAAAGGAGCAGTAGGAGGGAAAGGAGAGAGAAACAATTCATGTGAAGATGCTGATTTTAAAGAAGAGAAAATAAATAAGACAGTCATTAGTGGGATGAACAGAAAATGTGTACAGCACTTGGCAAATAGTTAGTAAATATTTAGTGAATGTATAAGTGAATAAATGATGAATTAAAGGAAGGCATTTTTGCCAGGTACTTTCAAGAATACAAAGAGGCTGTGGAGAAGCCCTCGTTTTCTTGGTGTAACCCTCCCAGTGCACAGTGGGGATGAATGTAGAGGTATACTATTGCCATTTAGTGTTCTTTGTGCAGTCTCTTAGGGTTCAGAGGAAGTGAGTGATGGAAAGGGATACAAAGCAAGGCCCAAGGGTGTCTAGGTTTCTGCAGGTTAAATGGGAACCATTCTGGTTACTTATTAGCTTTCACCTAATGAAGACTGAGGTCTGATGTTGGAAGGGTATTTCAATGAATAAATCAAAGCACATTTATCTTTGGAACAAAGGGTATTCACAAAGCATTAGTTTGCTAGCTAATAGAAAGTAATGTTTGAGACCTGACCAAGGTGAGACTCCAGGGCTAAGCTCCGATCAGGTGCTCTGGCTTGTAGCACAGCCATCCAAGGCCTTTCCCTAAAACCTCTGTACACTGGGTATACTGTGGTAGAGAGAAAGTCTGGCAGCTTCTTTATCCCTCCTCAGAATTCTAATAGTTGATTCACAAAAGATTTGCTCATGGAAGTCAAGTGAATTACAAAACAGAATGGCATGGAATTGACATTCTGGGTGTGAGGTACAGTCAATAGGATATTTAAGAAGTGAGGGATACCTTATTGGGTGGTCATAGCCTCTTGAATTTTTTTTCCATATGCTTTTGGAGGAAAAAAAAACAGCATTAAGAACCGGAGAACCAGTTCTTATGTTTAAGCTTTCCCTTGTTCTTTGTGTGTATGTCTTGGGGAGCCTATGCCATAGTTTTGATCTTACAATATAAAGAAGAAAGAAAAGAAGTGGAGGGAGAGAGAAATAGAGTTGGTGTCTTCCTCTAAAAAGAAAAAGAAATACAAAAACCATGCTTGAATATATTTTTTCTTTGTCTTCTAAATGTGTACCATTTTTAATATCTAATGTCTTATCAATTATTGCTATATTCTTATTAAAATAAAATTTTTTAAAAAGCTTAAAAAAGACAAGAAAAAATTAAGGTTTCTTGAAAGCAAGTTGTAATATTCAATTATTTATCCTATCTTGCATAACTGTATCTGTTAATCTGGGCAACAGATTTGATGATAAAATAATAG